TGCGGGGGAAGGAACAGTTCCCTGCGACGTGGTGGGCCTCAATATCTGCAGCGTTATACGAGCTTCTTGACATCACCATACGCTTCCTCTTCATATCCCGGTGGACAGAGGGAATACGAAAAGCCTTCCTTGAAATTCCCGTATCGTTTCCATTTGAGGCAATTATTATTCTGATCTTGGCAGGACAAGGGAATGGGTCAAAGGTTGTTCGAAAATTGCAACATTCAGGCAAAAGCGAAGCACTGCCACAAACAGGTGAAGTACGCAGCCACGCCCCTTCAGCTCCGGGATAAGTGGTATCACTCCTGTCTTCCATTGTCAGCAACGTAGCCAGTATTCTCCGTATGCGACAAGGAAACAACATAGCACTACACTCATTATGAAAAATTCATTGTCTTCATCAATTAACTAGGGAAGGTCGTCAGGTCGAAGTGGCCATTTGTAATGAGATGTAGCTCACTAGACGTGGTTTTGGACGCTGATCTCGAATCTGCCTTCAAAATTTGCAAAGCGATTCTCTGAACGGAGTTATGGAGCCGCGTTTACCACGCAACAGGTCATGGGATCGGATCCCTGCTGAGCTTAACTTTTTTGCTTCTTGCGCAAACGTGGCAAAAAGTGGTTGTGGCGTCACTACTACATTAGCGCTCTCCTTGACTTGCCTGAAAAACAGTTTGCGTTCGCTTACTGGCGCGCTTAGTGCCTTATGATCTAGGAGATGTACAGGTGCCCTTGGCGCGCAGTGCAGGCGTTTTCGCGCTGAGCGAGTGCCATATTCGTATTTATGGGGGCGAACTACGCCTAGGTAGAGGTTTCTAGCCAAATCTGCCATTTTGACCTGACTTCGAAAAGTGAAGCATCCATGGGTTAGTTCAGTTGATGTTCACACCTATTCAGCTGCAGATACATTCTCCTGCACAAAGCCTCGTCTTGCCACTTCTTACGCATTCATGTTGTTACTGCTCCAGTTTTCCTGGTATCTAAAAGCAAATTCCGTCCAAAGACAAGCAATCGACAAGAGACTGGCCCTGGAACTATTGGTGACCATCATTCGATCAACTGCTACCGCACTTTTCAAAGTTAGGTCAAAACCTCACATCTGGCTAGAAACCTGTCCCCAAGGGTAGTTTTGCTCCCTGAACACGAATATGGCACCCATTTGGCGTTTGGGTGTTTTCTTAAAGGAAAGATTTCCCACAAAATGCAAAACAAGTTCCCTTCCAGAAATTCGAACCCTTCATGGCATGCCCGCGAAGCAAGACCATTACCACTACACCATGCCGCCGTTGAGGGTGCTTCCCGGCTATTCATGCGAATTGGCTGGCAACCGCGCTCGACTCCGTTTTCCTTCATTTTAATTCTAACAAACCTTCATAATTCCGTTCAGAGAATCGTTCTGCAAATTTCGAAGGCAGATTCGAGATCAGCGTCCAAAACCACGTCTAGTGAGCTACATCTCATTACAAATGGCCACTTCGACCTGACGACCTTCCCTAGTAAGCTCATTTAAGCGAAACATATCAAATAAAAATTATTAACTTCTACGGATCAGCAATACAAAAATTATACATCTCACAATAACAGACACAACGCTTCAAGAATTTAATAACAAATAAAGAGCCGATATAGCACAAGTACGCGGTCCAAGGGTCCTGTTGAGATGACGTATCACTGACGTCACATAACACGGCAATGACGTGTTTTGTGACACCTGGAGTAATACAATACAGGTTCGCTCGTCCTTAGCGTGTTATGTAACATGTCATATCCCAACGTTGAAAAAAGGGCTTGTGCTATATCTGCAAACCGGAAAATTACGCATTTTCCCGCGACACGTCATCCACCCAACTCTAAAAAGAAAAGGGTCTGTGCCACCTGCAATCCAGAAAATCATGCATCTACCGGTCAAGAGGTATAGCTCAAAATTCATCATTGTTACTAATATGAAGCTACCAAATTCTAAGCAACTTCTCATGTATACAGCCCAGATCTAAAGAATTACCCATCGAATGACAAAATTAGAAACAGGAAAAGTTTTATGATGCAGACTTTTCGAAAGCCTATAACATCCAGCGAGGAAACGATCACATAGACTATTTTTCTTTGGAACGGACAAACTGCTAATTCTCTAAATAAATTACGTCTTCAGATTTGTTCTCACAAATGCACGCTTATATTAGGCAGCGTTCAGACTTCGCGACGGGAGCGCTTCGGTCGCGCGTTCAACGCGATCGATGCGCATGCTTTCGACTGCATTGATCGCGTCGAACGCGCGACTGAAGCGCTGCCGTCGCGAAGCTGAACGCTGCCTTACGGTACTATCGCAAAGTGTGGAACAAAATGCTGCCTGACTGAGACGATAGGTAGTGTCAACCCACAACGTCACATGGGTATCGAAGACAGTTTGATTCCGAAATAATTACCCGAAAATACATTTGAACAAATGAAGTGAGTGACGATAGCGGATGGCAAACATTGGAAGTCAGGATCAAGATGTTTGTCAACGGGGGGGGGGGGGCGGAGTGGGGGGCATTTAAGCCCTTACGAGTCCCATAGACACGTCAACACATCTAAACACGCTTGAGGGACAGTTTACAATGGCTTGGCGACTTGCTCCAGGCTCACCAAAGTCACAGTTATCAGATGAGACTTGCTAAATAGGAGGCAACGTAAAGTTAAAATGCCCCCCCCCTGTCGACAAACTGCGCCGTCAGGATCACTCAATACATAGGACTTGACGACGCAAGTCCTATGAACCTCATTGATGAATTCTATGAAAACATAAATCAAAGTCTAGTTCGGCGCATTGCGAATTAGTGTGGGCATTTCATTGATTTCCGAAGATCGATGCCCGTGAAAACCTGCGAATCCTTATGAAGCTATGCAAAAGAGGGAGCACTGTTTAAAACTGGTAAATCTAAGCCACACCAAAGTGAGCAGATATGTTACTCAGCAGGAAATGGCAAGGAAGACAGCTGCCACTTAACCTAGTCAAGAAAGAGACGGTGAGATGTGACAAATGTTCTACGGAGTTTGAATTATGTACAAATCTTGCCTTGTTCGCTTCGGATGCTGCAGCTTATCGAGGGCTAGGTTTGGTGACGGTACAGCCCCTTCTTTGTGAATTGAAAGGGGCAAGCAACAACAATGGGTGAGGAATGAGTTGTCGCCGGGCGAAACTTGCCCTCTGACACGGAAAAAAGAAGGGGAATTCCACACTGGACTGAGCGTAGAGACATTAAGCGTACTGCGGGAGGGATAGAAGATTGATTATTCAATAGGTCTTTCGCCCTTATCAATACCCACTTTACAAATTATTTTAGTCGAACCATAAGAGACCTGATAAAATGGTCGCAGGCTTACGGGAGCGGAGAAACCCTCATTTGAGAAAAATATATGCTCACCTACGTAAATGGTGGACCTTGTCATGAGCGAGGTAAATGGGTCCGCAACTGCCATTTTCTCCGGTCAAGTGCATGGGAGCGGAGCTGGAAGATAGGATACCCGTACGCCGTCTACTGACACGGCCGGTCAGTACCTAAAGAGCAGCACTTCCGTCGAACCCAAAATCCCGCAGCGTACACGAAGAGGTAGAGAAAAGCCAGAAATGAGAAGTTGCAGTTTGCAGAAGCTTGCGAAACAAATTTCTATTGAGTCACATTTCCCGCTCAAAGTTATTGTTCGGCACCCGAAGAAGTGGCTTTCTCCTCCCATGCAGTTAGCCGTTCCTTGAAAACTTCAGCCAGTATTAGGTCTCCAAATAGATTTAGTGGAGGAGATTTCGAAACCGCCTTCAACTTCTTGCTGAAGAGCTTCTCAGGGAGTTCACACTCCTCCATCATTGCTATTTCTCCGTCAACTTCCAAACCTCCGTCTTCAGCATCCATGTGAGCACTAGTGTCACCTTGAATGAATTATATTATAGGGATAGTCACACTTATTTGTAATTCTCACCCGATTCCGTAACGTGATGATTTTGTGCGTTCTCTTCTCTTCCGTCTTCAATACCGTTATGCGTACTAGTGTCGCCTGAAATGGTTTATATTGTGGGAATAGTAGCGCGTATTTGTACTCTCACCGCCCAGTTCCGTAAAGGGATGATTCTGCGGTGTTCTCTTCGCCTCCGTCTTCAACATCCTTATGCGTACTAGTGTCATCTAAAATGACTTCTGTTGAGGTAATAGTGACGATCATTTGCAGTCTTCTCACCGGTCTCGGTAACAAGGTGCTTTTGCGTATCATAGATGGTTTTCATGGCTGAGTTTGTCCACTCGGACACCTTATAAAAGAACGTTTCCGAAAACATGGCCAAGTTCAATAGCTTCGCCCACCGCACCAGATCCTAAAAAAACCCCAACAAATAAGCGTGAGCTCATCGAAACAACGTTAACTGCTCACCTCGAGTTTCAGACCTGCGGTGACAGCTGAAACAGCTGCCACAACGTTCCCTTTGAACATTCGTTCCCTTGAGTGATCGACAACTCGCTCTTGACTGGCCCACTTTTTCACAGGCATCGAACGGGAGCAACGTCCACATTCGAATTGAACAACTGCTGCAGTCCCAACCGGTTCTCAACTGCGTTCCTTCCAGATGCCCACCACATTCAGGACAGAATCGGAACAGCGTCATTAGCAGTGCACCTTGCACGAGGTAGTACCTTTGCAAATCAGCTTCGTCCACTCTTTCCAACGCGATATAGGGTTCCTACAGGGTTGCACCGCGAATTCTTGCCAGGTTTGAGATAGGTGACCTGAAATCATTTTCTGTTGTATTTCAAAAAGACAGACTTATGCTCATGAAACCTTCACTCTCATTGTAGAACGGAGGCCTCGCCCGCATTCTCCACGTACCTGATCCACGTTGATTTTTTCTCCAGAAGCTAGCACGACAGGCGCTGAAGATTTTCCTACTCTCCAGTTGGGTGCCGATTCTTCCAACGTCCCCTGAAATTCTGGTCCTTACGCGATGCGAAAACAATGCTTCCAAATCGTTCCCTGACCTTCGCCGTTCCAGTCTGTTCAGGCCATATCGAAGAATTTGGATAGCTCTGCAGAGTGGTGTTCAGAAACTTGAACACATCCCCAGCGGTTATGATCACATTGTCCTGAAGTTTTATGTTTAGTGTTCTCCTCATATTATGTAGAACAGACAGTCATACTTTAGTAATGCCATTGATCGCGTAGACAAGTTGTGAAGATGAAATATCTCGAAGATTGACATGTGCTATCTTTTTACCGCTGGGACTCTTGCGATACGATAAGCGACTCCCATTAGCTGCCAATTCAGCACATATATACTGAGCCTGCAGATGATAAATTTGACCTGAACGAAGCACCAATAAAGCGTAGGCTAGTCCAATGTAGTAAGAAGTCCACTGCTCGTTGGGATCACTCACCTCGGATGGGGTAATGAGCTCTGGGAAGAGGTGCGGGTGTTAACCACCTTCCACAAAATGCGGATTTTTTTCGCTTTAGTCGCACGAAAGCGGCCCATACCCTAAGTTCACGCAAAAACCTTATATCTAAAGCAAGGTCAGCCGGCTTGCGAATGAATAATCAGCTTGGTAAACTGACGCGCAGAAATTGTGGTTTTCCCTCGTCACTTACGAAAAATGGCTCCACGTCGTCGTAATATGGGTTACAAGGCCGCGTTCATACTTTGCAACTAAGGAGATTCGGCCCTTGGGACCCGACGATTTTCGGCCGAAAACTCGGCCGAAATCGCAGGAGATTCGCGGCTCTGAATTCCGACTGTCCCGTCTTGGACAGCTAAGTCCGTTTTATTTTTCTCCTGAGTCCTCCGCTTTCGAGGGTCAGACACGAAGGGACGCATAAATGAGGGACATCATGCCCTTTCGACAAGGTGCAGTAGAATGCCAGTTCCAACTCGCAAATATGTAAGTGTAAAAGGGTCATCAATCGAGGTAAAGTATAAAAAAGACCGTAGCTCAGCAATTCTCAAGGCTCATGGAACAGAGGTGAAATTAACTCCCTTGGCGTAGGGAAAAGGCTGTTTTCGTGCACTGAAGTTCGCTCGTCTGAACTCAAGCAATCTTTCGCTACGAAAATTTAAACGAGACCACTGCAACAGTATTATCGGCGCGATTATTAGCGGCGGTCACTTCACAGTGGTGAAGTTCTTCAAAAATGCATCGCTTGAGGGTTGGCACAATTTTTTGGAATCTTTTTTAAAAAGGTTAGTTTACCCCTTGGGCACGCTCATTTTGGGGATAGAGCTGTAGCCAAATATACTGGTGACAAAAAATTTTGGCCAGCTGGGTGAAACAGTGAAGGGTAGACTGAAGTGTAGACAGGGATAGTTTGTTTCACAAATTTATGTCTACCCCTAAAAAAAAAACATTACCGAAGTTACCCACTCGACAGTCACCCATTCATCATTGCTCACTGGCGAAGCTCGCTTCGAAAGTAAAGATATATTCATCCAGAACATCACAAGGCCTGCTTCGCCCGATGATAAGGCCCACGGTTGGTCTAAGTAGCTAAGGTAAGCTATTAAGTACAGAGGGATGTCGAGGCGGAAGACGGGCAAAAAAATCGCTCAGAAAGCGGCGATAAATGGTTGAGTAGGAGATTCGGAACGCACCATCGGCTCGATCTATGTTGGGCGGCACTGCAACGTAGCGTGGATCAAGACGTCAACCAAGACATTAATAAACGTGGACGAGTTGTCCGACCCACGAAACGCGTCGCATCGGCAGGGTGGTGGGTGGCAATTACAGCCGATGCGCCCCAATGGCAATCCCGGCCGCTTGCGCAACACCGACCGGGCCTCGCCGAGATTGACTGCCATGGCCACTCGAACGAAAGCAGTCTCGCGCACAGCTTAGGGTGGTTTTGCACTTGGAAACGGGTGGAACGCACTAGACATCAACAAAATGATTTTTTTGGTATTTCGGCATGGTGGGACCGCGAAAAACATTGGGGAGAGAAGCTAATCCATTCAAAACGAAGCCAGCGATAGCTATATAAGGTATTGTTCACAAAATCGGGTAGTGTAGTGTAATGAATGCTTGTCTGAAATTAAGGGCACAAGTTCCCCTAGGGCACAACTTTTCAGCGGCATGGGGGGGGGGGGGGTACTTTGGCGGCGGCGTCGTGGCGCGGGCTCCAGGCAGTTTCCGGACGAGTGGATGTGATATTCGTGTTCAGGAAGTCGAACTTCCCCTAGAACCCCCAATTTTCAGCCAAATCTGCCCACCCGAGAGAAAGAATAGCTCGCTCAATCCGGAGCCCGCGTTCCAGGAGAATTCAGGACGGTAGTAATAGTCGAACAGTGCCAACTTCTACTCTCTTCTCGGAAAGGAGTGGTATTACTCACCGCTTCGTCCTGAACTTAGGCAATTTAAAAATGAGCTCGGTGCCGAAGTTGCTGGAGTCCAAACGGCATCAGCCGAGCCATGTGGGAGAGAGCCGGAGAGTCTCGACGGCTAGAGGAAATCTGCTCTCTCGCCGCACAAAAAGGATTAGTTGTCACTTGGAACTTACCGCTTCTATCACATGGGATTGACAAGCAGGTCTGTGAGACACGCTAAGCCTTTCCACCAGCGGGTCCACATCTGCCTTGTCCACAACTCCTTTTAGTGAAAGCGATGCCATCATGATATTCCGATTTTTCAATGGCCACCAAAGCTTCATAGTGTCATTGCGGCCACGACGTCCACAAAGACAGCAAGTCTTTACCATTCTGCAAAAATATGTTGAATTCTTGTGCCCTACCTGTTCTGGATAAGGACACAAAGAAAAAAAATAGCTTCAATGCAGAGCACCAGGGCGGCACCACGACAAACATCTCCCAGTAATAAAGGGGACAAGTGTTAAAGGCAGTTGGCACGATGATTTGGTGCTCGGCCTAAAATGCTAGTAGGGCGCTGTATAGTGGGGAAATGGCGAAAGAACGGAGTGAAACGGTCAAAATCCTGCGAAGAAAAAGCCTCCGTTCTCTGTGTTGTAAATCAATTTTGGACGAGTTTCCCGTAGGCATCTTGCCAATCACCGCTACCGAAGGTACGGCTGCATATGTGTACTCATATATCCATGCAGCATCACGGCCGCTTCATACCAATCCCTTCGCTTCATAATTTGCTTAGCAAATGGACCAATTAGAGTTAGGAACGGTATTGGTTGGCGAGCGGTCGTGGCGGGCGTTTGGGTCGGAATGTTGTGGCTTGATAGGGCCCTTGTAAGGGCGCCTCCCTTGGAAAAGGCATTATGCAGCGCCTGCTCAGGGTCGATTCCGTCCTGCCAGGCGTATTTATACTACTCGTCTTTGGGGATTTATCGTGCCAACTGCCTTTAGGCGACAGTCACGAGCGAGAGGAATGGGATCTGTGCTAACGAGAAGGAGGCTCTAATCAAATATGCCTTAGCATTTTTGGTGGTCATTAAAAACCACTCGAAGAATTTTTTTCCAGTGTGAACTATCAAAGCTTTTCACCCAAGGATACTCCCTCGAGGTAGGCAGATTAAGCCCACTCACAGCATACCTTCCCCAGGGCGGACTAAAAAAGTCGTCGTCCTGCCTCGCAATGTTTCCACGTTTCGCAATACAATAAAAAAGGGATATTACTA